ACCAAAATACAGCTCTGTAGTGGAGGCAACGGTGGCCTTCAAGGAACAGGGTCCTGTGTCACCTCTGACCTTCCTTACTAAGTTGCAGAAACCAAGATAAGCCCTGAAGAACACCCTAACCTATCCGCAGCCCACGTGGGAGAGGGAAGTGAGATTTTAAAGGATCTCTGTGGAAAGCTAAAAGAAAGATACAATAACCTTTATACAGAAAAAAACACAGAGAAGTATTTATCAGCCATTATGTGAATGTTACAATGACTGCAGCAATGTGCTAAAATTCCAGATTTTATTATAAAAGTGTTACATGTCAATACTGCAAGTAAAATATATGTTATTCCATTTTCAAGTCACTAGAAAAGTATATATGAATCATTTTTTTTTTAAGATTAGGAATATAGCTTTGTGATTCAAGATGTGCTAAGCATCTATGAGACTCTAGGTCCGACCTCTAGAACCAACAACAAGAATTTTAAAAGTCATTAAAAACAAAACAAAACAAAACAAAACCTTCCTGTCCCAGTCAGCCTGTTCCAGGATTTTTACTCCATTTCTAAAAAAACACACTCCTTCCCATTACCCAAAACTTTTTAATTCTTTACAACTAAATTTATTTTAAAGCTTGGAAATCAAGGTATGACACACTGAAACTAACCAGACCCAAAGTCTCCACATCTCAGTGAATTACAGCTAATGTTCTTTGTAACTCCTCTGCAAAGAATCTCCTCTCCTAGCAGCCTTCTTGGTCTCTTTTCTCCCCTCCTGGAATGCTAAGAACAGCATAGCCCATTAGGATTTGTCATACACATGGTTGTCAGATTAAAGGATTTTCAGATACGTAGTTTCCCCATCTCTTATCCACTGTCCAAAAAGTGATATAGTATGTTTTAAAACATCTTCACAATAGGACTAGGTCTTCTGACAAAATCTAGAAGGCAGAATACACCTGGGTATAGGATATAATAGAATGTGTCCTAACAATGGCAAGAAGTTAAGTCAAAATAACTCATCAAAGGGAAATATCCCACAGCCAGTTCCTATACTCACACTGAGAGTTACACAGTGTATTCAGTACCTTTCATATATGATCCTGCCTAATTTAACTCAGCAATCTTCACATCTTTCGGTATGTAAAAGAACACATTTGCTACAAATACAGTATCCTCTTTTGAGTTTTAGTCTTTTGCGACAGGGTCTGATGTACACCCCCCCTTGGCCTTGCTATGTAGTCCAGGATGACCTTGAAGTGTTCCTCCTGCTTCTACCTCCTAATGCTGCAAATACAATGTAACACCACACCTGGCTCAGACTGCACTTCTCTAAACCAAAATATATTTTAGATATACTAAGCATGTAGATATATAGTAACATAAGTTAGTAACACTAGTTTTGGAGTTTGAGGGGAAAAGAGAATGATTAATAAAACTCTAGTATCTTTTAAACAGATTCAGGACTTGAATCACTTGCTTTTTATGTAGGATGAACTCATTATAAAAAATCTTCCAAGAGTAGTAAGTGAAAGAAAAATTAGACTGCTGGTAGGCAAATGGGCTTTCCATTAGCTTTGGCTTAACATTACTAGTGACACACTTTGTTTGAACTGTGATTATTTTAGTCCAGGTACTTTGGCACATACAGAAATCATCCATCAGCACCAACCATGCAAATGAATCTTACACCAGGGATGTGATGCATTCTGAACTCCCCTGCAGATGTTACTCTGGACCAACTTTTTATTAAATCTAAGCACAGTACTTGGTTAAATACTCAGTGCATACTAGTTTTTTGTTTTTTTTTTTTTACTTGATTATTTAACTATGGTTAGTTTTTAGGCTAACCACGAGACAGAGGAGGAAAACCCACTGCCATTAACACACGCAAGCAAACAGTTGAATAGCTGTTATGTCTTGGGCATTCTATATGCTACCAAATACACAAACACACAAGAAGCTACACAGGAAGTAAGGTGAGGCTGCATATGTGAGCCCAGAAAACGAGTACTGGTTAAGTCTTTAACCTCAATGTGCAGATGGGACAGTATCATTACCAGATGGCAGGGACTAGAGTGACAGTTTTTTTATGACAAGCTAAAATATACAATAAAATATAATCTTTATTTAAATTACTAAAATTTACAGTATCTTTAACACTTAATACACAGCTACTGACTATGTGGATGGTTTTGTGGATTTGTTTCTCCCTTCAAGAAATATATTTATTGGAAAACAGAAAATCTGGGCTAGGAATATAACAGGGTGGTAGAGTGCTAGCCTAGCATATACAAGGCTCTGGGTTCAAGAACTAGTGCTATACATAAACAAAAACAAAACAAAACAAAAAAAAACAAAGAAAAACCCAAGCTACTGACCTTCTCTACCAGCACATTTTCCCCATGTGAGAGTTTTTCCCCAAATGTTGATGACTCATCTCTTCAAACATGCAAATCATATATTAAATAATATTACATAAATCACCATAATTAGCAATAATAATTTTTGGTATCTTAATCCAAAAATATTAGTTTTAGTTCAGTATTCTAATATTGAATATTTATTTCATGAAGATTCTGAGGCCAACCAGATAAAGACTGGGTTTCCCGAATATAATTAGTTACCATTATCCTTATAGATCTGGAAACATCTCTTCAAGGGTTTGAAAGTAGGGTATTTCGAGTACCCCATCCTGTGTTAGTAAGTAGGGTGCTTCAGAGGATATGGATCATGGTAGAAGATTCCACGTTAAAAGAAATAAGCTGAAATGAGAACTGGCTTTGAATTATTTGAATAATTGTGTGTTATGCTTTCTTGTGCTGAACTCTTCAGCTGGGGTGACAAAACGCGCATTCCTTTTAACCACCGCATTTAACCTCCATCTCTGGTTAGAGACATACTCTGTTGTGAAAGCGAGAAGCAGATGTGGCCTAACTCGTCTCATCTCCAAAACACCTTCCTTGCTCACAACTCTCACACATTGTAGTCTCTCTACTTGAAAAAACTCTTAATTCTGTCACTTTAAAAACTTAACAGGATCTGAGTTCTGAAGACTGTGCTTGTTTAGGTTGTGTTATATGCTTGGAATCCTCCATGAAACTCCTTTAAAAAGCAGAAGACTCGGTAGTTAAGAGACGGAGGTAAAGTAACATGCCAGTTGTAAAAGTGCATTAATCTTGTTTTCAAGAGGAGAATACATTACCTAAGTTTGTCTGTAGACACGGAACCATACAAATAGTAGTTGCTTTAGTTTTGAAAGTGTTAACTGTTGATTAGGAAGAAGAGCACAAAACAATTTGGCAGTTTGAAGGAAAAATAAAAAAATGTATTGTTAGTTTGATTTGGTTTGCACCTTTTTAGTTTGGAGTTTCAGTTGGGAAATAATGAGTAGAGTTTAGATTATTCGGGAAACCCAGTCTTTATCTGAGTGACATCTACCTGAAATGATCAAATCCGAGAATGCTCTCTGACATTCACTGACTTACTGATCTATTATGAAAGAAGCAAATATATATAACCAAACAGTTTTTGTCATGAGCATTTTCTAGGTTGACCACTGAATTGTGAGTCAGCCTTCCAGAGTTGGGGAAACTCATGGAAAGATGGCTAAATGATTCAGGGTGCTGCAGCAAAATGAGCTGGTCATGAATTCGTAATTTGTAATCCTGTTGGGTGTCCTGGCCCTGGTAACCTCTCTTACCTGGTACTCTCAATGCGTAACACATGATACTGTAATCAATAAATTTCGTTAAACATTCCCTCAGGAAAGAAATAATAATGTCTTTCCCTCAGATAAACTTCTAGACAGGAAAGTCTTCAGTGCTTTGTGACAGCTCTGTCAAAGCCCACTTGCTAGCTCCCTCAAGCTTTGCTCACGCAAAGGACAGGGCTGGAGCTGACTGTAATGGTGGGGATGCCATTTTCTCAGCAACACAAGAGACAGAAGAAGAACTGAAGCAAGAAAAAAAAAAAAAGCAGCAACAAAACAAAACCAACAAACAAAAAACGAGGCCAAGGGAGTGAAATGGAATATATGAGCATAGGCAAACGTGTTGTCTCTCATGCCAACACTGACATTTCGCAACAAATACCATCAAAGGGCAGAAAGACTCTGAGCAGGTCAGACTGAGAGAAAACGCAGACTACTGTTTGTGGTAGCCTTAGGAGATACCTCACAGCAAGTGAAAGTCATTTCTAAGTATCACTTCACCCTCCAGAAGCAAAAGATTTACTATGCAAACTGCATGAAAAACTTCAGAAATACATAGATCCCACACCATAATAAAGCTCTCTCCATGTGAAAACACCACATATTAAACGTTTTCACCTAAAAATTGTACTATCTCTAATGAGAAAGTACATCCATTTTGTGACCTGAACAGTTATCCCACTCAGCATTTTCTGAGAACAGGACAAAGGAAGTGTGCCAAGATGTTCAGAATGAAATCGCCATTATCTGTGAAGTGGGATCTGCTCATTCAATAGCGTGGATGTATTTCGGTTCAGTTCGGTGTAGTGACATATGACACACACACTCCCCCCCACGCTCACACACAAATCCTCAGTAGCAGCATGGGGAAAAGGCAGGATTTTACAATTATCCAAAATGCACTTAAGAAATTACAGTGACAAGTGTGGCCATCCATGAATCTCCCCACCCCCACTCCCTCCATTCTGACCATGTTCAACCCCTCGTTTCCCTTAACCTAACAGAGGGTGGAGAAAAAAAAAATGATTAAAAGAACCTAGCCCAAATGTACATTTATATTTGTGTGTGTCTGTCTGTCTGTCTGTCTGTGTTTCCTCCTCTAAGATCTTGGAGGTCATTAGAAGGAAAAAATGGCTTGATAGACAAGGTTTCCGGGCCTATGCAAAGGGACATCTCCATGGCCAGAGACTGGAGAGACAGTTCCCAAGGCTTCCAGCAGTTATTACCGAGAGCCAAGGCCATGACGCCGCCTTTTGAGGCCCCTATGCCATGCGCACGTCCCACTTATATAAAAGGATGCTTACAGTCCAGGTGCTTCTTCTTGGGGCCCATCACCTCATGAGTAGTGGCTTTGCAGACCGCTCTCGCCACAGCAGAGCCAGTCACGCTGTACTGAGCGGCGGCGATCCTATCCGTGAGCGTTTGGCCCGACATCTTCACCGGCCGCGTCTACCACCTCCTCTTCTGCAGGAAATAAGAGGAGACAGTCCCGCTTTCACCCGCTCCGCCCGGGCTGGAGCGCCCCGGCCCTTGCCTGCTCCTGCCGCACGGCGGCTCTCTCCTCTGCCGACCCCGCCCTGGCACCACCTCTCGGGACCAGCGACGCGCCAAGCCCCGCTGGTCCATCGCGGTCCAGGGCTGTCAACCGCCCCCCCCCCCCCCCCCCCCCCCAGGTAGTCCTTGCACCGTGCCACTATCCAGTTTCCCCACACCTGAAGCGGCCGCCACCTCCCGGCCTCGCCCCCTGTCAATCAGCACTACCCGGGCAACCCTACCCCACGGTGAGGGACCAGAGCGCGTCCGGACTCATCCGGACGCCGCGCCCAGAAGCGCGCACCTTCCGCTGCCGGGAGCCGCAGCGTGTCCCCACGGCAGCCCCGCAGGGCCGCGGCCACCTCCCTTCTGTCCTGGGGGTGCGGCGGCATCAGCGACTCGCCCTCCATCCCCGAGAGCAGGGCCGCCAAGAACCGCACCGCGCCTCACCGTTCTCCTCCCAGAGCTCGGAGGGCCGGCCAGCCCGGGCTCCTCCCGGCCGCTAGCTGTCACCCGGCCGCCTCTGCCCTTCTCCGCGACCTGGGATTATCCCTCGGATCCCCGGGCCCCACAGCAGGGGAGGGCACCCGCGCGGCCCAGCGTACTCACCCCGCCCCAGGAGCACCGCAGCGCGGACGCCGCGCGGGGTTGCTGGCTGCACCCGCGCGCGCAGCCCCGGACTCCCCGGGCCGCGATGCCTGCAAGCCCCGGCCCGGCCCCTGCCTCAGCTCCAGCGATACCCGCGGTCCCCGCGCCGGTCCCCACCCGCCGCCCGCCGCCTCCGCCTCCGCCAGCGCCGCCGCGTCTCTCTAGCGCTCGGCGCTGCGTCCCCATCCCCGCCCCCACCTCGGCTGGAGCGCCCGCGACGAGTCAGGTGACGGCAGCCGACGAACCCGGGCCGGCCCTCTGCGGAACGCCGGCGGGGCCCCCTCCCCGCCGCTCCGGCTCGCCGGCCCCCGAGGTGCCGCGGCGGCTTCAAACACGAGGAGGGCCGCGCGCGAGCATCCCCGGCCGGCGGCGGCGGTGGAGGTGGGGGATCCGGGGATGGGGAGGGGAGGGGCGGCAGGGGTCCCGCCGCTCCGCAGCTCGCCTTCGCGCGCGCGCCCGCCGCGTCCCCCTCCGTGCGCGCGCGCCGCGTCCCCGTGCGGACCTGGAGCGCGCGCGCGCCGCGCACACCTGCGGGGCAGCTGCGGGCTGCTCCCGGATCGCCGCGGGGTGGGCCTGGGGAGAGGGAGGGCCGTGAAGGCCGGGGCGAGGGCGGAGGCGAGCGCTGCCAGCGGAACCCAGCCCCTTCTCTCCACCAGCACGTCTGTGGCCAACGGAGGCCGGGGCCCGGATGGGCAGGGCCATCCGAAATGTCAGATTCTGTGGCCACGCGACCCGTTACCTGTGTGCCCTCAGCTCCTTGCGGCTGCCCAACTTGTCTCCCCTTGTTACAACAAGGGGGGCAGAGTAATTCTAGCTGCTTTAGTCTTAAAGCGATACTGAGGTATGAGGTAGAGACACATAGCAGAATCGGAGATTTCGCTCAACAGTGCTTGCGCCCATAAAATGTAATTTCTGCCATTTAAAGATGTCGAGCATGGGGTTGGACTCGGTTAACGATTTCGTGAGTTGACATTTGCAAAGGTCATTATCTTAACTCTTCTTTTAAATTCTCGTAGTTAAGATCAGAATTCCCCTTTAGGAATTCCCCTAACATGTTTCCCGTCTTTATACAGGTGACCTCTGGTCAGATCCCAAGGACATATGTACCTACTAAGACACATCAGGGTTCTGCCTTGTCGTGCATTTTCACTTGGATCGGTGTTCAATAGGCAGTCATGACTTCCTGACAGCTGGGGCTGATCCAGGCAGCAATGAGAAGCCCTGTGACTAAAGAAAGCCCAAGACCACTACTATGAAGTTCCATATACTATTACGATTATATGACCTCACAGTCCTGTGCTAGGTATTTAGCCAATGGACAGAAATAAGAACACATTTTTATCTTTAAACTTTTACTCAAAATTTGTAGCAGCTTTATCTAATAGCCCCAAACTGGAAGAAACCAGGCTACTAGTAAATAGCTAGAGAAAATATGGTAATCCATACAACAGAATACTACTTGACAATAACAAGTAGTAGCGGTGTAGATGAATCTCAAATAATGCTTTATGAGAGAGGCCCAACCATCAGAAACTTTATTTACTATTTTGATCAGCTTAGGTAACAGACTAAAAACGGCATAATTGCAAGACAGAAGAATACACCAGGTGGCAAAGGTCAGGAGGGGACTGACTTCAGAGGGCCAGAAAGAGACAATTTAGGGTGATGGAAAAGTTTTATATCACGACTAAGATGGTCATTACCCAATAGAATGAATCTGAACACTTTGGTAAAATTCATTGCATGTAAATGATAGCTCAGGACATCTGCTATGGAAAGAGCTGGGGTAGCCACACTGGTACTAGCTAAGGTAGACGTCCTAGTATGGACATTGGTGGGAAGAAAGCGGCACATCGCATAACCGTGAAACTCATCAACGATCAGTGCCACTTGTTTAACACTCTAGGGACAGGACGGGCAAACAGGGAGGTGCAATAGTAAGCCCAGAATGACAGCGGGGCTCGGCAGTTTCTCCTTTACAATTGCTAAGGTAAGTAGACAGCAAACTATTGATGATTCAAAAGTAGCCCCAACTCACTCTAATTGTTATAGAATATAAAATACTTTGCTACCCAGCAGCGGTGGAATGTGTTCTTTCAAAGGTAGAATATTTTCCACAATAGACAATGTTCAATGCTATAAAGCAGGTTCAGTGCATTCAGGAGAGTTACAATCCTGCAAATTGTGGGGTTTTCTCCCACAGTAGAGTCAAAATCATTAGCAGATACAAATCTGAAAAAAAAAATCACTAAATTAAATAGCATTCTCAAAGTACCCATGGATTTAATTTTCTCATAAAGAAACATTTAAAATTACTTTGAACTAAATGGTGATAAAAATAAATGCAACGTATCAAAATGTGTTGTCTGTAGAAACAGCACTGACTACAAGAAAGTGTATAATATTAAAATGCTTATATTAGGGATGGAGCTGGACATGGTGGAGGGTGAAAAGTCAGAGATCACTTCTGGGTTTGAAAACCTACCCAAACCCACCAATTCCTGAGCATGAAAATCCACCAATACCTGGGCTTGCCTCAAACTCAGAACTTGAAATACCACCAATCCCCAACCTGGAAATCTCTACCCTGGAAAATCTCACCCTAGATAAACCTGTCTCCTTCTCATTTCCCTGTTGCTTCTAGCCCTGTAAAGCATTCAAATATATAAGCCTTTCCTAATAAATCTCTTATGTGAGGATTTTTGTTCGGTATGAGTCTGTGCTATCCTTTGGCTTCTGACTGCCAGGATACCTTCCGCCTCAGAGCTGCAACAGTTCATTAGTGAAGACTTTGCCCTCACAGCTGTAACACTTACACATGGTGGCATATGCCTGTAATCCCAGTAACTGAAGCAGGAGGATTGCAACAATTTTGAAGCCAGCTACTTTGAAAATACCAGGCCAGCCAGACCTATGTAGCAAGACCCTGTCTAAACTAAGCAAACAAGTAACAAACAAAAATAAAAAGGAAAAAAGAAAAACTATTAAGCATCAATCTTAAGAAAAAAATAAATTTATCTTGTACGACAAAACTTTTATTCACCCCAGATATGAAACCCATGACATTCCGAAGAACAGATACCACCAAAGTGCAACTTATTGAATTAGCTCAGTTGATGGAGCATGAGACTCTTAATCTCGGGGTTCCAGCTTCATGTTGGGAGCCAGTTGTACCCAAGCTTTTTGGCCACCTTTTTGAGTTCCCATATCTACAACCCTTCTCCGCCCTAGTCTCTTTCAGTCTCCCAACACCAAGTAGTTGAAGAGGAAGGTTAGAGGGGAACAAGGTTGTAGACTTCTTTAAGCTACTTCCTGCTGAACATGTGTATCGTGATGCTTGGGACAAGTCCAATCAGAGTATCTCCAACCAGCAAACAGTAATCCAGCAATAACACAAGCAACAGCAGGAACCAGCAGCAGCAAGGGGAGCAGCAGCCACCCCATGTTCTCACATTTACACCCTCTCAAGGTTCTCCAGAATCCCAAAGTAAACTATCTGCAGCTGGCAAAAATCACGTCCCTCCAAGAGCACAAGACAAATCATAGTTAGCAGCTGTCAAGAATCTGAAGCGGCCCCATATCCCACACCTGGATTTAAAACAAAAACAGTCACATAACATAACTGGGTTTTAAAAGAAGCTGAAATTCTCACAGGGGGTTACTGGAGTAGTTTGAATAAGAATGGCCCTCACAGGCTCCTGTATTTGAATGCTTAGTCATCAGTGAGTGGCACCACTTGAAAATGATTAGATGGGGCCCTGTTGGAGGAAGTGTGTGTAATGAGGGGTGGGCTTTGAGGTTTCAAGAGCCCACTCTGGACCCACTCTTTATGCCTGGGCTTTTCCCTCTTTCTCTCTCTGTGTGTATCTCTCTGTGTCTCTGTGTGTCCTTCTCTGTCTTCCACCCTCCCGCTCTGCCCGTGATCAGGACGTAGTTCTCAACTACCACTTCAGAGTCTGCCTGTATGCTGCCGTGCTGGCTGCCACGACAATAATGGACTAAACCTCTGAAACTGTAAGTCAGCCCCCAATTAAATCCTTTCTCTTATAATGGTTGCTTTGGTCATGGTGTCTCTTCATAGCAATAGCACACTGGCTAAGACAGTTACTTATACGAATATGGATGAGAGCTTACTTACAGGAGCAGAAATGAGTCAAATACAATTGTATCATCAAGGCCAGGATGGGTAACAGGTTACAAAAGCTGAGACAATGCCCCTCTCCCTGCCAGGATGGATGTTATACAACAGCTCAACATAGCAGAAGGACGCAAATAATAATTAAAAATCAGTCTGTGTGTTAGAAAAAAAATGAATAAGGGAGAGAAGCACTGGGAAAAAAGAAGAAAAAGGGATGGATTAGGGCTAGCTACCTTCTTGTTAGGAGTTGTAGCTTTTGTCTCCAAATTGAATTGAAACCCAGCCCCTTCTCTCCATCAGCACGTCTGTGGCCAACGGAGGGTTAGGGTTAGGGTTAGCGTTAGGGTTAGGGTTAGGGTTAGGGTTAGGGTTAGGGTCAGGTGGGAGGCTCTTAAAAGACTTGATATAGTGATGCAAACCTGTAATCTCAGCACTCAAGAGGCAGAGGCAAAAGAATTGCCACGTGTTCAAGGTCAGTTCCGAACAATGCATCACCTGATTTCATAGAAAGGAATACATGGGGCTGGAGAGATGGCTCAGAGGTTAAAAGCACTGTCTGTTCTTCCAAAGGTCCTGAGTTCAATTCCCAGCAACCACATGGTGGCTCACAACCATCTATAATGTGATCTGATGCCCTCTTCTGGTGTGTAGGCACTCACACAGGCAGAATATTTAATAAATAAAAATTAAAAAAAAAAAAGACTTGAGAAGTAAAAGAAAGTTCTAAGTTTCAGGAACTAACAAATCTCACAAAGCTCAGGAAGTTCCAAAATTTACAAGAACCCCAAGGTTATTGAAACAAGAACAATTGCTGGCAGAACTCTGAACAAGTGGTGCAGTGCAGCTTCAGTGATGCAGAGTATGTGAGTGGGGGGATGGTCTTTTCAGAGATGCATGTGCTTTGAGTCACAGTAGCTACTGTCAATACTACTACAAGTAATCCAATAAACTCATTGGTTCAGTAAGCTGGATCTCAGTGGAATAATTTCTTTGGTCTATCATTAGCACCTTATCTGGGGTGAATACATGTTTACTGAAGTCACCATGGGAAGTGTCACACAATAGGAATAAAAGGGGGATAGATGCTATGAACATTAAAAGGATAACAAAGTGCTACAAGAAGTATTACGCTAAATAGTTAGGGAACTTATGAAAAATACTGGTTCTCAAACAGTCCAATGGTGGTATGGAATCATATGTGTCATCGAGAGGTTTTGAACAAGTAACTTGTTTGCGATAATGACTTAAGATAATGTCATGGGTTGAATGATTTACTTTTCAAAAATATATTAGCGTGGTTTCAAGGTCAGCCTTGAAGTTACAGCCCTGAGAGGACAGGCTTCCCCAATGGAAGTGTTACAGCTCTGAGGGGGAAGCTTTCCCCAAAGCTAGTGTTAACAGCTCTGAAGGAAAAGGTATCCTGGCAGTCTAGAGCCAGGGAATACCACAAAGACACACTGCACAACAAACATCACACAAGAGATTTATTGGGAGAAAAACAAAAAGATGGTTGCCTCTGCTCAGGTGAGAAGTAACAGAGAACTGAGAAGGAGGCAGGCTTATAAAGGTTTCTTGGGAGAGAAGTTTTCCAGGGTAGAGATTTCCAGGGTAGGGATTGCTGGGATTTCAAACCAAATCTAGGGATTGCTGGGATTTGGGGCTCAGGGGTATGTTGGTTTTCAATATCAGGGACTGGTGAGGTTTTGAACTCAAGGATTTTGGGGTTTGGGTAGGTTTTCAAACCCAGAATTGGGCTTGGACCTTTTGCCCTATGAAAGGAAAAGTATTGGCTCGGGACCCTCAAGACCAAGTTCTCAGCACAAAGGAGATGTATTTGCCCCAGAGGGACAGAGGGAAGGGAACGAGAGACAAACACAGGAGACAGGATGAGGGAGAAGGGGAAAGGAGCAAGGGATACTGAGGGAGGGGTATTTATCCAGGAAGACAAAGGACTGTCTCTGGATAGAGAGAAGACAGCCCATAAGTAAATGGTGGTTTATAAAGGTAAAAGAGGAAATCCCATAGCAGAATGAAGCATTTAGTTTTAGTTGGTTATATTAATTAGGTGAGCCAAAGGAGGTTTTGATAGCTGGACCTTGGTAGACAGCCTCACCCTACAAGCCATATACCAGTATAAAGTTATATACTGTAACTCAAGAAAGTATGAGAAGGGGCTCTAGCCAGCCCAAGTATAGCAAACATGGCTCTGGCAGACCTTGCCATCTCCCCATAATCCCTGCCTTGCTAAAAACTATTAGATCATGTTCTTAAAGCTAGCCACAAAGGTTTATTCCCCTATTTGGCCACTTCCTTTCAAGGTCCAGTTATCAATGTATTAAAGTTCAGTAATCAAAAGCCCCCCCCTTTTTTAAAGTCATTTAGTATTTATATAGTTTGTATTTATATAGTTCTTCCACAGTATCTTCAATACTTTGGTTTATGTTGGCACTAATCTGGAGTCCATCTATGACTCTTTGATCCAAGCAGGGCTCCAATTTAATTTTATTTATTTTTTTTAATTTAATTTTATTTTATTAATTACACTTTATTCACTTTGTATCCCCCCATAAGCCTCTCCCTCCTCCCCTCCTGGTCCCACCCTCCCTCGTCCTTCTTCACGCATGCCCCTCCCCAAGTCCACTGATAGGGGAGGTCCTCCTCTCTTTCCTTCTGATCCTAGTCTATCACTTCACATCAGGAGTGGCTGCATTGTCATCTTCTGTGGCCTGGTAAGGCTGCTCCCCCATCCGGGGGAGGTGATCAAAGAGCAGGCCAATCAGATTATGTCAGAGGCAGTCCATCTTCCCATTACTATGTAACCCACTTGGACACTAAACTGCCATGGGCTACATCTGTGCAGGGGTTCTAGGTTATCTCCATGCTTGGTACTTGGTTGGAGTATGAGTCTCTGGGAAGACCCCTGTGTTCAAATGTTCTGGTTCTGTTGCTATCCTTGTGGAGTTCCTGTCCTCTCCGGATCTTAACTGTTTCCCACTTCTTACATAAGATTCCATGCACTCTGCCCAACAGTTGGCCTAAGTCTCAGCATCTGCTTTGATAGTCTGCAGGGCAGAGCCTTTCAGAGGCCCTCTGTGGCGGGTTCCTAGGTTGTTTCCTGTTTTCTTCTTCTGATGTCCATCCTCTTTGCCTTTCGGGATGGGGATTGAGTGTTTAGTCAGGGTCCCCTCTCTTGATTAGTTTCTTTAGATGTACAGATTTTAGTAGGTTTATCCTATGTTATAGGTCTATATGAGTGAGTATATACCGTGTGTGTCTTTCTGCTTCTGGGACAGCTCACTCAGGATGATCCTTTCCAGGTCCCACCATTTACCTGCAAATATCATGATTTCCTTATTTTTCATTGCTGAGTAACACTCCATTGTGTAGATGTACCACAATTTCTGCATCCATTCTTCAGTTGAGGGGCATCTGGGCTGTTTCCAGCTTCTGGCTATTACAAATAAAGCTGCTAAGCCCCCTTTTGACTACCCTAATAAACATGTACATTCAAAATTAAACACCTCATCCTAACCTGAGGTTTTCCCTTTTTCCTTTATAAACTGCCATTTTCCTACAGGCCATCTCTGTCCTCTGTCTCTTCTCTATCCAGAGGCAGTCCTTTGTCCTTTTCCCCTCCCCTTGTTCCTTTCTTCTTCTCCCTAGTCCTCTGTCTCTTGTCTTTGTCTCTTATTCCCTAACCTTTGTCCATTTGGTGCAAATAAATCTCCTTTGTGCTGAAAACTTGGTCTTGGGGTGCCTTGTGCCAACGTCAAAATCCTTTCAAGATGTATAGCCATAGGCTGCCTTCAGGTGCAAAGCAGAATCCAGCACCCACAAATCAGATGCCTGCTGTAGATATCGACAGAAAATGTCTGAAAATCCATCAGGTAGAGCAGTATCAGATACAAATTAATAAATCGTGTAAAGAGTGGGATCAACATTTGAAATAAAGGTTGTTTAGGGTAGTCACATAGAGCTTTTAAAACAGTATCATATTTCTAGTAGCAAATATTAGGAAATGTCAGACTCTTACGCTGGGAAATCCAGTCATGAATGTTTTATATTAAAGAATAAAGAAAATTAACTAAAACAAAGAAATGAATTGAGAGAAAAAGGTCTGTGTTGGTGTGAAGGCACATTCTAGAAATATTCAATAAATCTTAAGCAAGAATAAGAATAAATTTGACATTTTTACAAATTAAAGATCACTGGGTCTTTCTTGCTGGTTATAAAAGAGGGTAAATAGAACAGACACCCTAATTTTAATGTTTTTGGAGGAATTAGATAATCCAAGAATACCACTATACAGATCGTCTTTCAGTCTCTGACTTAATACAACTTCTTTTTTTGAGTACCAAATTAACTGCATGAAATATAAACCAAAAATAATTGTGAGAGAAGGATGCAGATGTAACTCAATTGGCAGAGTGCTTGCCCAGTATGCATGGGGCTCTGAGTTCAGTCCACAGCACTCAGACAACAGGGCATGTTCCTACAATCCTATGATTCCAGCACTTGGGATGACAGTCTATGCTTACACATGAAGGACAGTCTTTAAGCCCTTTGTCTACTTCAGTGATATAACAGGCATGCAGGAAATAAAAAGCAAGAAAGTTGAAGGCAATCTGATTATCCCAGGCACAACCTGAGCTGAAGTAGAAATATTCATATCTTTCTCTAAGAAGCAGATCATTCTTGAAGTGTCCCTAAAGGGTGATTTCATTTCAGGGATGCTTTTCTGTTAAAAGTAGAATAAAGCATGTGATGCCAAATAGCCATGTTGGTGTATATGCATTCCCCTCCGCAAACGTGACATTCAAAAGAAATCGACAACAAAGCACACATTCCAATATCCCTAATTCACTTATGCAGAGAG